TTTAAGTGGTATATGGACTTACCTCAGGATATTTCCATTAAAATCTTTTTTCCCTAAGGTTTACAAATTCTTTGAGAATTTTGTATAGTGTATTTTGATCATATTCACCCCCAGTTGTCCCCAGATCCAGCCCCATTTCCCTAACCACCAAACTTTGTGTCCTTTTCTATACAACCCCTAAGTCTAATTAGTCCTACCCCTATGTTCTTAAATGTGTGGCCATCCACTCTTAAAGAAATCTGACTCTCCTAGCAGCTAACCATTGTCAATAGTTCCTCAGCTAGGAGTGGGGTTTTGTGCCCACCTCCCCTCTCCATGCTGGGATGTTATCTGGTTTAAGCTTGTACCGGCCTTGCCAACTATTGAGAGTTCATATGCACAACTACCCAGGGTCTTGAAATCACTACTGTTCTTTGTAGACACCCACCACCCACTCTTACTCTTGGAATCTGGCCACTTTCTCTTCCTCAATGATCCCTGAGATCTTTAGAGAGGAGATATGATGTAATTGTTGAGAATTCTGTGGTATCTTATTCTCAGCACCTGCCTTCTTGAGCTTGAGTGTTATCTTGGTTAGTGTTAGTCAGCTTGACACCAGCCACAATTATCAGCTAAGAGGGAACCGCAACTCAGAAAATGGCCCCATAAGATTGGCCTGTAGACAACTGTTTAGGGAAGTTTTCTTAATTGTTGATTGACATGAGAGGGCCCAACCACTGTAAGGTGCTCCATCCCTGGGCAGGTGGTCTTGGGTTGTATAAGAAAACAGGCTGAACAAATTAGGAGAAGTAAGCCAGAAAGTAGCTTTGCTCTGGGACTTCAGCTTTGGTTCCTGTATCCAGGTTTCTACTCTGAGTTCTTCCTCTGACATCCTTCAGTGATTAAGTGGGACCTGAGATCTGTAAACTTTTGGTCATTGTCTTTATCAAAGAAATATAAACCTTAACTAAGAAGTTGTTACCATAATTAGAGTATTAGTAGGACAGGCCTGGCCATTTTGAGGGGTGTATTATGGAAAGACTTTTGCAACAAATTCCATTGAGTGTGCAGATTTTAATGATCTTTTAATATTTTATTGTTTTTAATTGAGCTATATATTTTTCTCTACTCACCTCCCTTCCTCTACCTCCCTGTCCACCCTCTCCCATGATCCCATGCTTCCAATTTATTCAGGAGACCTTGTCTTTTTATTATTGTAGAAACTTAGAAGATAATGCTAACAGAATTAATACAAAAAAACTGGCTTCTGAAGTTTCAGAGGCAAATTTTAAAGTCCCTTACAGATTCTATCGGTGCCATTAAATATTGAATCTGTGATTCTGGTCATCTGGGGCTGAAGACCTTTCTCTGATAAATAAGAGAACAGAACTGCTGAAGTAAAGCCTGTGCTTGGCTGAGACAGTTGACACTGGCCACCTGGGGCTGAAGAATTAGCTATGATTAAAAAGAGAGCAGCAACATTAATGGAAAACGGTATAGGAAATGTTTCCTTAGGGTCAGCTCACATAAGCTGTGACCCAAAGGGTGGAGGCTATGCCTAGTGATGTCAGATGAGCATGGTAATATGGAAGAGTCAGACAAGTGCTCCTGGCTATGAAGGCATGCAGTGGTTAAGGAGAGCAGTTGAGGCTTAGCACTGTGAGAAGCCGTGAGACTTGAGGAATGAGCAGGTCAGTTACAGAAAGACACCGACATTTGGGAAGTGACAGAACCATGAGATAACCACGAAAGACAGCCAAAAATGTAAAGAGAAATGGTCTAAATGTCTTGGAACTGGGGGTTGTGAGTGAAGCTCAGAACTACGGCACTGAAATTACTCTGTTGGAGTTTGAATTTACTTTGATTTAGTTGCGAGTGTACCCTGCTTCTTTCTCAGAGTATGAAGTAGTTAACTTGTCTTTTGATTTTACAGAAGTCCACAGCTGAGAGACTTTGCATATTTTAGTTGTTTTAAAGAAACTGAATTTTTACTGTGTTTGGATATTTAAAGTATGTGGGTTGTTTTTTAAAGTTTGGAATAAGTTTTATATTGGTATTTTGATATTAATATGAGTTCATGGGGCTTAACAAGAAAGGAAAGGTTATTATTAGCTAGTGATGTATTTGTGTGTCAAGTTAACAAGGGGTTATTTTTTTTGTCAACGTGGAGTAAGCTAGAGTTATCTGAGAAGAGCAAACTACAACTGAGAAAATGCATCAATAAGTTTGTCCTGTAGGCAAAACTGTAGGCATTTTCTCAATTAGTGATTGCTCTGGTGTGTCTCAGTCCATTGTAGGTTGTGCCACCTCTGGGCAGGAGGTCTTGAGTTATGTAGGAATGAGCAATAGTGGGGAGGGTGCCTGAACTGGTCTTGCCACATAGTCAGGTAGATGACTATCTTAAATGTCATCATAGAACCTACATCCAGCTACTGATGGAAGCAGATGCAGAGAACCATAGCAGAACATTGGGCTGAGTTCCCAAAGTTCAGTTGAAGAGAGGGAGAGGTGAGAATACTAACAAAGAAGTCAAGACCATGAAGGGGAAACCCAATGACGCAACTTACCTGAACTAATGGAAGTCTTCCAACTCCGGCCTGACAACAGGGAACCGGCATAGGACCAAACTAGGCCCTCTGAATGTGGGTGGCATTTGTATGACTGGGACAAACTGTGGGGCCACTGGCAGTGAGACCAGGATTTATCCCTACTGCTTCTTCTGACTTTTTGGTACCCATTCCCTCTGAACCCTTGCTTAGCTTAGATAAAGGAAGGAGGGCCTTGGTCCTGCCTCAAAGCAATTTGCTAGACTTTGTTGACTCCCAATGGGAAACCTTACCCTCTCTGAGGAGTTGATGGGGAGTGGGCGGAGGAAGGAGGGGGCAGGAGGAGGAGAGGGAGTGGAATATGGATTTGGGATGTAAAATGAGTAAACATAGCTTTTAAAAAATAAATAGTAAATTATAATTTTCAAAAAAGAAAGAAAAAAGGAAAAATAAAGCAGATAGAGCAAGCCATGAGGAGACTGTTACTAGTAAGTAACAATCCTCCATAGTCTCTTCCTCAGTTTCTCCCTGTTTCTGCCCTGAGTTCTTGCATTGACTTCCCTCAGTGATGGGTTTTGACCTGAGAGGTAGAATCTTTTCGGCCTAAGTTGCTCTTGGTAATAAAATATAGATATTCTGTAGTAATAGAACCCCCAAATAAGAAAGGGGTCTTGATTTTCTGCCCAGCAGTATGAGAATAATATCTCTATACAATAGAATTTGCGGCTACAGAGTTTTCTCAGATTCTCCTATTCTAATCCGTTCTGTCACCGCCCGTGTATGTGAATATACCTGCATACTAGTAAATATGCCTTGACTACAAATAACCATAAGAGAATGGATTTTGTTCAACGGTAACTCACCTGTTACTCTTAACATAGTTGTACTGAGGTCTAAGTTCACAAAGTAGAGAATAGAGATTTAAAGGAACTTAGGATGATAAAAAGCAATCTTTAATTTAAAACACGGAATATAGAGTTTTTTTTTAATCATAGATTGAGCTGGACAGAAGATTGGAGCTTTGGTGGTGAGATGAAAGTGTCACTGGTAATTTCTTGTTGAACCAAGAGGTAAAACATCACAATGAGCATTGTAATACCTGGAGGAGCTGAGCTAAAGATTCCTCTTAAGAAATGATGATGGGCAAGTGAAGAAAGCCTATGCCTTGAAGAGTGCGTGTTGTTCTTACAAACGACCCCTCTCATATCCATCAGCAACTCCTGTTCCACGGGATCCAATGTTCTCTTCTAACACAAGGGCATCAGGAAAACAAATATTTCACATACATATATGCAAACAAAATTTCCATATGGATAAAATGAATAAATCTTTTTTAAAAAAGAAAAGTGGAAATTGTTACTGAGTAACTTTAAAGATATAATTAATTAAATTCACATTAATTTTGGTTATTAGATAAGTGGTTTATGAAGAAGGCATTAGAGACCATTAAAGGATACTACATACTCTATATGATCAATGAACCCCAGAGTCATGTTTCAGATGTTCAGGAGTAGTTTATTTATTGACATCCTGCCAACAGTAAGCACGGACTCATTATTTCGTTTAGGTTATTTTTAGAAGGATCTATAAGGATAAAATATGACTTAATACCATCCCAATAAATATCTTATCTGAGAGCATAAACTTAAGGTTACTGGATTCTATTCTTTAATACTCTACTGTTAGATCTGACTAGTTTTAGGTCAATTTGGAATAAAATGAAATGTCAAAGTAACCTTGGTAATGCATCATCTTTTTTTTCTTTTCTTTTTATTTATTTATTTATTAAAATTTCTACCTCCTCCCCGCCTCCCTTTTTTCTCCCCCTCCCCATCTCTCCCTCCCTCTCTAGTCCTAAGACCAGTTAGGGTTCCCTGTCCCGTGGGAAGTTCAAGAAAAATAATATAGACCCTCCATCCAGATCTATAAAGGTGAGCATCCAAATAAACCAGGATCCCAAAAAGTCAGATCATGCAGTAGAATTAAAACCCAGTGCCATTGTCCTTGGCTTCTCAGTCAACCTGTATTGCCAGCCACATTCAGAGTGTCCAGTTTGATCACATGCTCCATCACTCTCAGTCCAGCTGGCCTTGGTGAGCTCCCATTAGATCTGTCCCACTGTATCAGTGGGTGGACACACCCCTCGTGGTCCTGACTTCCTTGCTCATGTTCTCCCTCCTTCTGCTCCTCAAAAACTAAGTCATAAGTAAGGCAGCATAAGGGGTCACATGACTATAGAGTTAAGGCCTTTAATACTTACCAGTATCAGTGTCCAACAATTCATACAGCCTCACAAACAAATCTAAATTTAAAAGGTGTGCTTTTCCTTAAGTCTTTTGAAAAATAACATTTATTCTGTAAATTATTAAATGACACTGTGAAAGTCTAATATATGTATAGAATGTTTTAAACTTATAGACAATCCAATTGCCCTTTTTAATCTTGCTTCTTGGTGAATAAAAAACAACAGCCATCTAATTTAAACTATTGCTTTTATTGTAATTACACGGGAGCACAAATAAGTAAGCACAGAATATCATAAAATATTGTCAATGCACTAAAGAGAAATCAATTTGTTTTCAAACAACATCTGGTTACTTCAGTCGTATCAAAGTACATATATAATTACATATTACTAAAAAAATCAAGTACAAAATTAAGAGACATTAAAACATCAGTGTTTATATTATTATGTATATAGAAATGCCTAGGAATACATGAATAGAGAAATCTGTTATCTAATGCTTATTTGCACAAATATCCAGGCACATACCTGACATTGCTAATGAGTTATGAAAAATGCAATATGACATTCAGATTTTTAGATATGGTAAACTTTTTAATGTTGGAATGGATGTTAAATGATTTTCTTTAAAAACTCTGTCTTTTAAAAATGTAGTGTAATTATCCACTAAAAAACAAATTAGTTTATATCATTTTTCATAGCGATTTGTTTCAAATGTTGGAAAAGTCAAGAAAGTAAACATACAATTGCTAAATACGTAAACACGCTTTTAGTGCAAGATAACAAAAGTGTGACTGTACTGTGCTTTGATTCTTCTTATAATCACAGTGCACTTTACACAAATTGCTACACTATAAATGTTAAGAAGTCCAAACAAAGGAAGTGCATACTAAACATTGTCATATATATTATATACAGTATGCATTCTGTCTCTGAGTGCGTACATGTTTAAATATAAATGCATGTAGGGTGGGCAAACCCAGTTATATTTGGGCGCAAAACTTTGAAGGATTATTCATATTTTTATTAGAGATAGATTCAGCAATATTTTGTAAAATGTTCTTTTTTAAATTTGAAGCTTCGTAATCATAAAAGGAAATGTAACCAGACATTTTTCCAGATTATTGTTCCAGTAGAATTGACCCAAATATGAGAGGGCTTTAAGCCATCCAAACCCCAAGCCACAATGTCTACATGTAACATGATAAAACAGTGTTATCTTTTACTGATTTACACAGATAGCAGTACATATTGTAATGTACAGGTAGAAGCTAACACATACACATATGCTATACTTAGACATAAATTTAGTCTATTTTCATCTTTTATTTTGACTGTACACTTGACCAGAAAACAAGAATGCTGCATAAAACCACTTAAAAACTGCCAAACGTGTGAAATCATGTATACTCCAGTTGGCCTTTTATTTTGAAAATATTAATGATTGCATAATTGAGGTCCCTAATTTCAAAAAACACATTTATTTCAATATTCAATTCCAAGTGCTTCTGAAACTGTCTAATAATATGATTCAGTGAACTTTTGAAGAAATGATGCATTACTAACAAATTGTTCAAATTATGCAATTAGCTAGTTATTATTCTGAACTAGGAAGGTGTTGTAAGTTTCCCTATGTACTGGATGTGTCATTTCTCATTTATTTCCTTTTAAATTTGGGATATAATTCATGAGGGGATGATAGTCTATTCTTTCTACATTCCTTTTCAAGTGAGACTTACAACCCCCTCCCAAATTACATACTCCATAAATTGTAGGAATATTTGGCTTAATTTCAACTGGAAACATGATTAATTTATAAGATCTCCATTGGGAACCTGACTGAGTTTAGCAAGTAAGTGATATAAAATGTATCTATAGGAGCATTCTTCTGATGACTTTATTGAAACAGTAACTAGCTGGGGCTCTTCAGGTGTGTTGACTTTCTGTTGAACTTGTTCAAAGGAAGCCAACCTAATTCTGGGTGTAGACAAGACTACACATATGTCACATAGGTCTGCTTTCTAGAACCATTTGAACAAAATTCTGTTGCTTGTCAATGGTTCGAAACTGTCACTATTTTGAAACGCGATCTTATGTCCAAACAATTATTTTGTATTCAAAAGGCGTATGCATTTTAAAATAACACACTTTACCTCTTGGTGTTTGCTTTTCTTTCTTATTTATTATGTAGCTGAAAATTCCATCACATTTTACCCCAAACTTGCTTCAACAGCATGCAGAGGGAGATATTGGCAGTGTCTCTATAAAGTGACTTCTCATGTAGTGCTGGCTTCTGTGATGGGGAAAATACAATATTTTACTCTTTCCTCCATCATTTCTAAGGAAATTCATGTCTTCTCTACTAAGAAGTATTTCGCACATAAAGCCGTCTTGCTGACAGCCAATAAAATTCTGTTTCTACAACATTTGCCGTGAAAAGACGATTTGTCATGAGTATGAGTGGCCTTCGCCTGATAACACACCTTCGTATGATTTGTTCTTTGGCATTGCTAGAAAAATGAGCTTTATCATGACATCACGTGCTGGCTGCAGATTATCTTCTGACCAGGTGAAGGGTCTGATTTATTGCCACCAGAGAGTCAGCATGGTTTTCTCTAGCTACTAATGATTCTTTTCTCATAGCGAAGAGATACTCTACACAATGATGAAGTTGACTATAGAATAGCTAATTGCCACACTGGACAATTATTTATTGTTTAGGCACAGATGACAGATCTGTAGTCAAATCCAAGTGAAGCCATCTTTCCAGATATTCCAACTCTCTCTCGTGTAGAAAGAGGTTTTGAGAAATAAATGGAAATGGTTACCTAAGTTCAAATGTTCAAAACAGCTAACTCCTCCAAAAATAACAGATTTGAAAAAGGAGTATGTGACATGTGACCCTGGCATGAACTTAACAGAACACCCATGAATGGCTGAGTCCAACTCAAATCATTTTAGTACCTCTGTTTCCTTCCAGACAAGTGACCAACATTAAAAATTACCTTCTGCCTAATTCAGAGTGATATGTATAAGATCAGCCAGTGAAAACACACTTGGAAATATATCTCCTACACTTAAATGCCAAGGGAGGGCTCATCTTCACTGTAACAGCCAAAGTGATAAGATCACAGAGATTCTGACAAATGGTGCCTTGTGTTTGATTGATTAGCTTGAATGTATGAGGTCATAATAACTTAAATCAAGATAACAATTTGGGCCAAAAACACACTTGATTTCAATTATGATTTTATCTTAAAACATTTTCATCACTCGTATGTCTGTGCTGTATTGATTGCTGGGTTTGAATTATAAGTCTACATAGCTGGTAAAAGACAGCAACAGCATTCATTTAAGCTATATAAGATCTCTCTGTGGTACCCGATATTTGTGACTTTGCCTTTGTCACCTCTTACTTATACAAGCATAACTTACAATATCAGTAAGCATTTTATATATACAATTTTCCCACTGATTGTTCACACACACACACACACACACACATTCACACAATACACGCTCCCACTTACCATTTTCCTTATTCTTTCAGAATTATAATTGGACATCAAAATATACATTAATTATAAAACATTAAAAAATTATGTTATAACATTTCAAACTCTCTTCAAGGAACTTTTACTGATAAAGAATTACTAGAACTTTTTTTATCAATATAGATTACAAAAATTCCTTAACTTCTGTTATATTTGGTTTTATTGAGCAGCATGGAACTATTGCTGTCAATACCCTTACAAGAAAAACTGCCATGATAATAACTTCAAACACACTTTTTCCTCTCAGAAATATAATACTAAATTGATTGTTAATGAAGAACCACATACTGTCAATTTTAGGAAGCATAAATAGTAATTTAAATATACAAAATATATGTGATAGTTTCCTTTTTATTTATCCGTGGCAATATTTATTTTCAACTAACAAGTTACTTTTAAAGATATATACTATTTTTCTTAAATTAAACTTCTTAACTTAAAGTTTACTACCACATAAAGTTGAGTCCACCCTATTCTTTCTCCCCTGCATTTCCTTTACTTCCATAAATAAAATAAAATAAAATAAAAAGTGGTCATAACTCTTTGGTCATGGTGTCATAATCAGTAAGAACAGGTGTGATAGTTATGAACAGAAGATTATGACCCCAAAATGCAATAAGTACTTTAAAATGATTGGCAAGAAATACTTTTCAATGAATGGATTTAAATTTTGAGGAAGGTTGGCGTGGAGTATACTAAAACTTGGAAATTGCTATAGCTGAATGTTCATTTTTTCAACTTCTTGAGGGAGAATCATGCCCATGAAATGTTACCTAAAACTATCATGTCTGTCGTGCCTCTGCTCCCATTTCCTTGAAAACAGCTGAGCTCTGAAGGTATTGTTTTTTCGTTCCTTCAATTGTCACAGTGAACCCTGGTCTCCTCCAATCAGATCAATGCTGCAAGGATACACCCCCCTAAAAGTCATTTCTGAAAGAAAGTTTGCTGCAGGAATGTCCCAATATATCCTACAGCCTTCCACTGTAGTCTGACTAACCAAGTGCAAATACCAGGATGTGAAACAAATCCTTAGGAAGTCACTGTAGCAAAGATTGTCCACCTCAGGGTAACATGAATGTGCAGACTCATATCATACTTTCGTTCATTTCCCATCAATCCCCGACAAACATAGAAAGCAGCAGACAATCTTTACAAGCGTAATATTCAACTTCTGTATTGCTAGCACCAGATCACATATGATGTGCTTAAATAGGACGTATACCTGTGAGCTCTTCCACAGAAGCCAAATGTGGGCAGAAGGACAAAGACATTCTAAATGCAAAAAATTAATAAGAAAAAGGCATCCAGGGGTTACATATAAAAGAGATAACAAACCAGTTAATACCAAATTATAGCTAGTAAACTTTTCTGCTCTTTCTTCACCTTAAATATGTATAAGGAATATTATTTCAGGTGTCACCCATAAACTAGCAAAATATTTACAGTTTAATATTTTCTGGATTCAAAACAATCCACCATAAGAGAGTGTGCCTTAGTTGCAAGGACGAACACATTTTTATCTTGGACTTGCCACAGTACCCGCAGATTCCTGTGGTATTCCACATCAACAGAGAATATATGTAACAATTAATTTCACAAGACCAAGTCAACCTCCCTTGGATTAAGCAACGTGGAGCTCATGCCAGTACACACTCATATGGCAGTATCCCAGAATACCGTTTGCTGTTTGGAATAGGGTGGAGGGCTGTACTTCTTTGTTCCCGCGTTCTTCTTCCAGCTGGGCAGGATTGGCATGCTATCCTGCTTGCAAAGGCCCTTTTCCGTTTTCTGTCTAGCCTTTATTTCTTTGCACAAGCAACGCTTTTTCTCAATCATCTCAAGCATTGTATGGTCTCCATGAAACCACTGCATGCATGCCACCTAGCAAAAAAGAAAAAGTGAATACAGAAGAAAAAGATGGAATGAAAGTGTATCTTTTGCACTGGGCTATAACTGCTAAGAAACCTGTCAGCTATTTCTACACCTACTTTTTGCAAAAGTTTAAGGTCAAACAAAGCAAAAAATGAAAGCATAGTTGTTATAATAAACATCCCACTTAAATTGGCAAATGTCATGACAAGATTTAGTAACAATTTGGACATAAATACTTCCCAAAATATTTCTGAAGTACCCAGTAGGGTCAGTTGCACGGCAGGGCAAGAAAAGGTGTTTATTTTCAAGCCTGATGACCTGTATTAATTCCCTGGATCACACACAGTAAGGGAGAACCAGTTCCCATCAGTGGTCCCCTGACCTCCACAATCTTTGGTTTGCGCTCCCCTCTCTCTCCTCCATCTTCCCCCACGATCTCACACACACACATAATAAATAAGTAAATAAATGTTTTAAAAAAGACCACAATGTGGAAACAAAATAACTTTATTTTGTAAACAATTTTCCAAATATTTACCAAGTTTTAGATTGGTTCCCAATATATCTACATTAAAATATAAAAACTATTTTTCAGTGATATATTTTTAAAGTTGCTAAGGACCATTTTCATTCTTGAAATATATTTTAAATACTTGGGTTTGTTTCTAAACAGAATAGAGTAGCATATGTTTGTTGAATAATTCCACCTGCTGAAGTGACTCTGGATGTACATGCTAAGTGTTGGTGGATACCCAAATATCCTTCTGTTGAGTTATTTTTACTGTAGTCCTTAGTATGTCAACAAACATGTAAGATCACTGCCCTCTACAAACATGCTGATAACTACTCTAGTTGTTTTTCTTAAAAAAAAAACTTACAGAAGATAGTTCATCAAATCAGTTAACAAAGGAAGATCAGTATGTAGGTTGAACATACAATGATACATATATTGCTTGACAGAGGCACACATCTTCCCTAATACACGTAGTATTGTGTCTATTGATATTCTTTTGAACCAATTTTGTCACAAAAAGTTAGCAATGAGATAAGCCCATCACTACTCTAAACAAGGAAGACTACATTTGATTGTTTAAGCAAATATCCCCTCTGATGGAAAGGTTAAAATAAACCAAATGAAGTCACCAAATGTAGCAGTATGGCTTTTGGATAATATTTCAAACAAATCCTTATCTAATTTTGATTTTACAGCTGAGTCATCATTGTAGTGGTTTAATGACCTAATTCACTTCTTGCTTGCAAGAGTGATGCTTAAAATAAACACTATACATTACCATGTTCCAGTACGTGAAGTCTCATGGGACAATATTTCCTGTCCAATAAAAAAGAGCTAGGTAGTTGGAGATGATACAACTCTATAAGACTGGAAAATTGCCAATTGAAGGATTGATTTGTAAAATACATTTACAAATATATGTAGCCTAATATATAGGATATTCGTATGTTTAATTTGGTATTAATCACCTGATGAAATGAATGGCAGTATTATAGAGTGTGTGGGAAGATAAATCTCTTTCATATTTATAATTTAAATAGGACATGCTTAGGTTCATGTTTAAATTCTCACATTAAAACCCAGTGCTAATGCTAAGAACATTTAAATATTAAGACCTTTCCCCCAAATGGTTTTAAATATTATTTTTTACACTGAGATAATGATGTTAGGAAATCGTGTAGTATTAGAGACACAAGTTGTAAGCTTATTACTTTCATGAACCATGTAAAAATACTATCTGTAAGATATTAATCAACTTTTGTTTTGTTTTCTTGATCATAAAATATCTTTATCCTGTTAAAAGACAGCATCAAAATACCTTTTTGTTTCGACCTATGGATGAAACAGTTTTGGAGACAGAGTGTTAAAATTAATTTAAGATAAGCCCAACAAAACATTCTTCTAGTTTAGTTATTTATTTAAGTGACTTTGTTTATTATATACAATCCAAATATATTTGTTATATATACAGAGAAAAAAGTATATATATATAATATGATGATAACTACATACTAAGAAATAATTATAAAGCAGTTGTCTTATAATTATGTTCAATTAAAATTGTTCAATTATTATGAATATGCAGCTGTAGGGCAACAATTTTTTATTAACATGACTCGATAGAGATATTCTTTGTGTATTGAAATCAGTGAATTCTCTCATCATGGAGGTGAATGGAAATGTTCACCTCTGTGTGTGAGCCACACAGTAAGAGCATCATGGTGCAATGGAGAGAGATGCTGGAGGTCATGTCTCATGGAAAAATCTGGTTCTCCCTACTGGACCTTAGTTCCCTACTCAAATTCTTCTATTGAAATCCTAACCTTTGCCTTGATGGACTTAAATATGAGAACTTGGCAAGAAGTAGGAGAAGTTAGTTCCTGAGTGGGACTTACCAAAGAGACTCAAGATAGCTTTCTCCTTGAGACACAGTGAGAAATGAGCAGACACAAGCTAGCAGAGGGAACTTCTAGTAAGTTCCATGGATGCACCCTGGTGTTGATCCTTCCAACCCTTAAAGCTGTGAGAAATACTTTACTTTGTATATAAATGGCTGTGATTTTAGAATTTTGTTATATTTTCCTATAGAAACCAAAACATATGAGGCATCTGGCAAATTAAATTGTCAGTGGATGTTCAATAGTTGTGAATGCCATTGTTAGCATGCACCACTACAGTGATAAACCTTGGCACCCCTGCCTTCTGTTTCTGTCCTCCAAGCCCTCATAGCAGATGAGAAAAGCAGCAGTTAAAGTTCATGTGAAAGACGGTTTAGAAAATACCACAGCAGTCCTCCTGACACCCTGTCAAGGCCATACAAAAGAAAGGAAGTCCCCCTAGAAACACCTGCTGTCTACACAAGGATGAAGACATCCCCTGACTAACTATAATTACTGTGCATTTTTTAGAAGGAAATAGGAAGCAGAAAAGAAGGATATTGGATAAATGCTAAGGAAAATGGAACAAAGGGCAGCCTTTACCTGATCATAATGTCTCGGTGCTGATGCATTAGTTGAATTTAATAAATTACAATACTGCAAGTTGCAAACCATGTGGGAGACAATGAATATGTATTATTTTGGAGCCCTAAACTTGTTTTGTAGGTTGTCTTCACATCTAAAATGTACAAGCTTTTGTTTAAGGGGCTATCTTTGCCAATGCTAGTTTTAACTGCACTCCCTCCCCTCCAAGATCACATGAAATATGGGAAAATAAGAAAATTTAAACCACTTGCTTAGGACTTTTCTAGTTGTGACACTGAGAAGCAATGTATCTCTGAACTTTCTGTGTGTATTATAAATTAGTATGTAATCCCCAAAACCATGCATGTATATAGCATATAACATTTATGTACTTGGCATATACAGAGCTTAACAACAGTTAGTCAGTTCTATGTTCATTATTTTTGTCGGGGTTGTAGGGAACATAGAATTATTTCCTTTCACTAAGGAATCATTACACCTTTCCACTACACTAGTTTTTTGTTGTTTTGTATTTGTTTTGTTTTTGGAAAGTAAAAGAAAGTACTTTCTGAAGCTAAATAAATTTTTGTGAAATAGCAAACAGTAACCCTGTACAATAATAATTCTATTATTGTATATTTGAAAATTTTCAAAATGAGTAACATAGAAAATTGAAACAGAATTACACTGCAATAAGTACTTGGAGCAATTCAACATTAAATAAATTAGAAATAAAATTGATATAAATTATCTTTACTTAAATGGCCTCACTAACTAGCATGGAATAGTATCAAATACTTGGAAGACAGATGCAACGTTAAGGAAATGCCATCATGGCTTTGAAATAGAGTTCTACAGTTAGTAGAAACTTGTCTATAACACCTAGTTTCTGAAACAGTAGACACCGGCCTGTTTTCATACAGCTACTGAGATTTTTAATAAATATCTTTGGGTTTTTAAATGAAACACAAATGGAAAATATTTGACAGTTCATGGACATCGTAAAATAAAAATGACAGCATATATGTCAATATTTTAGCACAAAACATGATTATCTGTTAGGCTGCCATCTATAGAGTGGGCTCACTGACAGTGGGTTTGTGGTTCATCACGCATACACTTTTTAAAATATGGCCATGTGTGGAAATAAAAGATCATCCTAAAAAGGGAAAATATGACAAATTGATACAATAATAAATAATCACTATAGTATGAAGAAATGTAAAAGGCCAAGTAAATGTCATGCTAGACCTGTAGAAATAGAGAGAGAGAAATGATTAACAAATGAATTAAACATAAGAAAACCAGTGAAATGCCCACTTGCCTTAATGCTATGGTTGGTTACTGGGATCTGATCAAAGGACGGTTTGTTCTCTGGTCACACCTTTCCCTAAAGATTCTTTTGACTTAGTAAATGGTTAGTTGACCCTTAAAATAAGCATGTATTAGAGTTGTGTTAAAATATTGGTTATGAAAATCTTGATTCAGACTAGCTTACAGTGGTTTTTATATGAATCGGACCCATCCAATAAACCAGAAATGATGAGAAACAGACTTGAAATCATATTGGAGAACTTATTAGGGTGTGTTTGCTGTTCATTTTGGTGTCATATCCTTATAAGGAGAAGCAGAGTGTTGCCATTATAAAGTAGCTGGATTTAGACTCTGTATCCATGAATAATACTAGGTGAGTCCATTCTTTTATATTTGCAACCAACTACCTCTAATGTGTCACTCTTGTGACTACCTAAAAACAAACACTCACATTGATAACCTTTCCCTCAATCTTAGTCAATTATTTTTCATGTCTACTTTCCAAACATAATTTGGAAGGATGTGCTCAACCTTATAAAGAACAGACAATAACAGAAACCTTCAATAAAACTTGAAATTGACAATAACACAGAGCCCAGAGGGTTACAATCTTCTGAACTTGTCTGTCTATTCACAGGTAAGACTGCTTTATTTTATCGTTAATGAAACACAAGTCCTTCCAACATCAGAATAAAAAATGAGAATTTATCTATATATCT